GCACTAAGACCTGACCATTCATAGGATGTCATTGACCACTACAGCACTAAGACCTGACCATCCATGTGATGTCATTGACCACTACAGCACTGAGACCTGACCATCCATGGGATGTCATTGACCACTACAACAGTATGACCTGACCATCCATGGCATGTCACTGACCACTACAAAACTATGACCTGACCATCCATGGGATGTCATTGACCACTACAACACTGTGACATGACCATCCATGGGATGTCACTGACCACTACAACACTGAGACCTGACCATCCATGGGATGTCATTGACCACTACAACAGTATGACCTGACCATCCATGGCATGTCATTGACCACTACAACAGTATGACCTGGCCATCTATGGGATGTCATTGACCACTACAACACTGTGACATGACCATCCATGGGATGTCATTGACCACTACAACACTGACATGACCAATCATGTGATGTCATTGACCACTACAAAACTATGACCTGACCATCCATGGGATGTCATTGACCACTACAACAGTATGACCTGACCATCCATGGGATGTCATTGACCACTACAACACTGTGACATGACCATCCATGGGATGTCACTGACCACTACAACACTGAGACCTGACCATCCATGGGATGTCATTGACCACTACAACAGTATGACCTGACCATCCATGTGATGTCATTGACCACTAGAACACTATGACCTGACCATCCCTTGGGATATCATATCTCCTGACCACTGGATGAACTTATATCTGACTTACACAAGTTCAGTTGCAATGCCACCATTACCAACAACTGCTATTCTGCTTGCATTTTGTAGCTTTTCTTGAAAAACCTGAATGTAGAAATTGGTCATTAATCTTCAGCTAGATAACTGCAGTCCAATATTTGTGATGTTAATAAAAATAGATGTAACTGAAACACAGTATTGCCTTGAACTTATTACTGTTGATTGCTTATTTGAAAATTTGAAAATAAATCTTGAGAAACCAAAGCTAGATTTTGGAATTACAAACATCAGCTGTACATTTGTTAGAATGTGAATTTTCACTGATTTCCTGAAAATTCTACCTTATAAGCCATTGTTTGCTAAATAGTTGCTGACCTTGACGCTCTCTGTATCTCTTATTCCCAATACATATGTGTTTTCTTTATTGATGAGTTTTGGTGTTCCACCAGTACAAACACACAAAGAACTGTAGCCAATAGTGCTGTTATCTGACAGGGAAACCTCCTTTGAAATTGAAATACAGAAGAATTCAGTATACAGTCACTGAAAAATTAAGGTCATTCATTGGGTATTCAACCTAATAAATATTATAAAATATTATTATATTGTTATTCTTTTTCACCAAAATATCATATAATTATTCATCTGGACATTAACAATTTTCTGTTTACACGGTACAAGGCTGAAAAACTAATCTGCAATATACAAATCTTTTTGAAAGAATTTCCTTGACAATTAATTAATAAAATAATATGAAATAAAATAAATAAATATAATATAAAAACAAGCATTTTTCAATGCACATTCCTCATTTTGTTTTTGTTATAAATTAATTTATATATAAAATATACAAAACAATTATCAGTGTTCTTAACTATATACATAATTGTTTTGCCCTAAAGATTTGAAACATTTAAAATAAAATTCAAACATTCTTATAATTTAAAAAAATACAATGAACATATTAAATTTCAACTAAAAATTTCAATGAAAAAAATTGAGAATTAGTAATCCCAGCATAGCCTATAAAAGAATGACATGCTCAGCTAAAAACACTAAATTTTGATAGATAATCATATGTTTTATTATACCAAATAAATTTAAAAAAATCAAATGTTGGTTGAGTTTTATTGGCTGTCATGTGACCAGGTTCTCACTAATCATGATGATGATCTTATGAGGGACAAGTATAATATAAACTGATAATTACCTTGGTAGAGGTCAATATTTAATTTTAATGTTACCTTTAGTTCAGGATTTATATTTACTATACTGCCATGTATCACTTTGATATTTGGAAATCGGTTTTCTAAGACACTATGTGGTTTTTCTTTAACATCAAACACTTCTAGAGTCTTAGTAATCTGAAAAAAAAAAACAAGAAAATAATACTACGGACACAAGCCAGCCATTGACTTTCCCTTGCAGCAGCAACCAATGAAATAGAATGTACTGATTGAGTGGTGTCTTTGATCTTGAATTGTATCATAACTTCTTTATCAAATGTAATATTGAATATGAATATCAATACTGAGTGCAGACAAGGATTCATAAATTCTTGGAGTATAGAGCACTAGAGGTGGGTGGGTTGTTTTATTAGCTTGACACAGTGGTACCAATCATCTGTGGTGTTGAGAGAACTGCTTTGATTCCCACTTTAATTTGACCTATTAAATCAAAGCTTGCATTAATATATGACTCAAATTGAAATCAAACATTGTTTTATGTAATGTCTTTATACCTCTTTATTTTGCATGGAGAATGGCGCCACCCAATCACCTAATTTGTATAGTTTAACGCATTCTGCTGCTGATATGGAGTGGTAAACCTCACAATATTATGCAAGTTTAAAATGTATATGAATAATAACAAATCATGGTGCAGTATCTATTGCAGAAACATAAGAATTTCTTAATTCGTATAATTTGCATATCATTCAATGCAATATTTGTAAAAATTGAACCATACCATGACCATCTGAGAGTAGTGTAAACCATGGTTCTTTCAGAGCAGTGTAAACCATGGTTCTTTCAGAGTAGTGTAAACCATGGTTCTTTCAGAGCAGTGTAAACCACGTTTT